AGCTGGCCATCTGATCGGTCCGTTTGTTCCTATACACCTATCTCCTAAAATTTCGGTATATTATCACACGAGTATATATTTTTACAACAGATATGACTTTTGTAAAAGTAAGAATTATAGTTTTATCTGTATTTTCATAGCCAGTCATATTAAAAAGGAAAACAAATATAATTTATATATAAAACACCCCGTATCTCAAGTGTTTCTAAAAATAACTATATATTGCTAAAAAACGAAAAAAAATCTATTTTTTTAGGCCATGGTCAGCTACGATTTCCATTCAATAAAATATAACTTTGGGTCATAACTCCGAAATCTTAAGATCTACTAAAAATCTAATACCGGCATTCAATTCTACGCTAAAGAATTAGTCTTGAGCACAGCTGAGATACAGACATGTTAAAAAATGTGACAGTAACGAGAAACGCCCTGTAACTCAGAAACAAATGAAGATAGCAAATTTCCGATTTGACAGTCGAGTTTGCCATAAAAATCGAGCTCGAGAACGTCGTGTCAGATTTATCATATATTTAGTAGTTTCTAAAATACCCTGAATTCCCATCGAAAATGGACCAGTCTGTACATTTAGGCGATAAAACGGATGTAACATTTCTGTCTTCAATACACGCCATACAAAATTGGGTGATTAATGGCATTTTTTGGAGCGGAGTTACCTTCTTCTCGAAGCCCACGAATTGATAATAATAATAATAATAATAATAATCTTTATTGCCCAACAGATAACATCCATTTATAGGACAAATTGTTTACAGAAAAGTTAAATGCTTAACATGTATAGACATAAGACACATCGAATGAAGTACGCAGAAGGCTAGTAATATTGTATGTGCATACAATACCCAAAAAAAGAACATATAATATTCTTATATAGAATTAAACCTAAATCAAATCACCATATCTTATACCAACAGTTTCAACTATCTGATTGAGGCTGCTAAAATTAAGATCACACAAATCTGATATTTTATTGAAATTTCGGCACATAATATGTACTGGGGACATCATGAGACACTGCGACCTTGCTCTAGCACAAATAAAGGTATAGTTCTGACGAGAGTTTATACGAGGAATACAAAAACAAAACTGGCACAATAGGGATGGACATTCTAGATTATTGTGAAATAAATTATATAAAACTTTTATACTTGCTAGAACTCTACGAAACTCCAGAGAAGGAATATTGAATCTGTTAAGTAGAGTAGATTGGTTATAGCCTCTCTCCGGATAAAAGCCATCTATTTTGAGTGACATAAATTTCAAAAATTTCCTTTGTACATTTTCCAATGACAGCTTCAGATAGTTGTAACGTGGGTACCATACCAATGAACAATATTCAAGCTTAGATCTTACGTATGAGTTATACAGAGACTTAAATGCAATTTCATTTGAAAATAACTGACAGTTGCGCACGATACAGCCTAACATTTTTAAAGCAGATGAAGTAATATCATTTATATGTTTAGAGAAAGTAAGTTGTGAGTCAAACAAGACACCCAAGTCTTTTATGGAGTCCACCCTGTTAAGTACCTCAGAATTAATTTTGTAATGATATGTTACTGGATGCAATTTACGAGTGTAAGTTACGACCTTGCATTTCATTATATTTAATTCCAGACAATTACTAGTGCACCAGTCGTTTAATAAATCTAATTGGTCTTGTAACTTTTGACAATCCGCAATATCCGACACTTTGCCAAACAACTTTAAGTCATCAGCAAATAAAAGTTTTTCACAGCATATTTGAGATGTTAAATCGTTAATAAAATATAAAAAAAGTAGGGGTCCTAAATTAGACCCTTGAGGAACTCCAGAAGTGGCTGTGAAAATACTAGAATTGTGTCCAAAATACGTAACGTATTGCTTTCTATTCATAAGATATGACTCGAAAAGGTTGCATAAATTATAACTGAAACCGAGTGCACTCAATTTTTGTAAAAGAATTTTATGATCGACACGATCAAACGCCTTTGCAATGTCAGTGTAAATCACATCTACTTGCCCTCGTATATCAAGTTCATTGGATATGAATTGTGTAAGTTGACATAAGTTAGACACTGTAGATCGTCCACGCATGAAGCCATGCTGATCCCATGATATTAGAGTTTTTGTAGCAGGATAGATGCGATTATAAATCGCTATCTCGAATATTTTTGAGAAATTGCAAAGAATTGAAACCGGTCGATAATTCTTAACTTCGGTGTTATTACCACTCTTAAAGATCGGACATACTCTCGACAATTTCCATATTTCAGGAAACGTAGATGATTTTAATATTAAATTGTAAATAATAGAAAGTGGCTGTAAGAGAGCTCTTGCACAATCTTTCACAAGAAAAGCCGGTATCTTATCGTGACCCGATGTCATTTTGTCTTTTAAACTATTTATTGCCTCTAATATTTCTTCATCAGTTAGGCTCGTTATATGCAAAGGCATTACATCATGGCTACATAATTGCTGAAAAGGATAATCCACGTTACTATTTTTCCCAGAATAAACACCATTGAAATAATCGGCGAAAGCGTTAACAATAGATTTAGGTGAGTCGAAAATTTTTTAGTCATAGGTAACTGAGCTAGGTATTCTAGATGTGCCCTTTTTGTGTTGAATATAAGACCAGCATTTGGTAGGGTCACTTACTATTGCATTTTGTATGCTGTTGATATGGTTCTTGTAAGCAATATTTATTTGTCTTTTTATCAGAGACCTCAGCCGTTTAAACTCAAGCAAAAAGTTTACATTCTTTTCTTTTTTATATTTTAATCGATATTTATTTTTCAACATGATATTGTTTTTTATCTCAGTGGAAATTATCTCAGAAGGAAATTTATTCCTACGTTTACAAGAATATGCTGGAACATGACGATCCAAGATAGCATTAAAAATAGCGTAAAAATCAGAACATGCACCATTTACGTTATCAGTATTAGACAAAGAGCTCCAATTTGCATTTAATATGTCACTATAAAGTTCAAGAAAGTTAGCTCTGCGGAAATTGTAAGCTTTACTCTCACAATTTGGAGAAAAAGTCACACTAGTGCTATCATTTATTACAAAATTAAGTATGAGGGCCGGATGATGTAAATCTTCACGAACTAAAGGTGCTTCATTCCTAACAACTTCACAAACATTAAAATTAGAAAAAACTAGATCTAAAAGGCGATGATTGGTATTGAGTACATTATTAAATTGCATAATGTCCAGTCACTTCCACATTTCTGTCAGATCTGAAGACGGTGTAATTATTTGGAAAGTACTCAGAAGAAGAAATACCATGCACAAGCCACGTCTCAGAAAGGCCAATGATTCCAAATTCAGCAGCTGAAACTGAAGAGCAGAACTCATCAACCTTGGTCCTTAATCCTCTAACGTTCTGGTAGCAGCATGATATTTGACTCGACCCCTGATGACTGTTGGGCTTATCTAGTTTAAATTAACTATTTCGGGAATGCCACGTATATATTTGATTCTCAAATTAGTTTCTCCAGATGCCAGGCGTTCATCTAACTTCAGCTTAACTGAGCGATAGCATGCAATCTGTTTTAGTGTTCGATCATAACTAATGCGGACGCCCTTAAAGTTCGGCATGTTTCTTAAATTTCTTGCTTGGCGAATGACGTCTTGAACTAATGATTCATCGCATCATTGATGCATCAAAGACTGTGCGGGCAGGTTGATTATTTCGGTATCTTCGTCGGTATTCTCCGGCTGCTTGTATGGCGTTCTCATTGGAATACCCATATACCAACACAAGATCTGCTTAATGCATTTTTTATTTAGCACAAATTATTTAACGAATGGTCAAATGATTAAACAAAATGACACAAATAATTATTATTGTTATAGCAACCATCATTTTTATTTACCAGGCTACTTGATTGGAATATGAATTATATTTTTTTTAAAAGTTTGTAACTTCTAAAAAAAAACGAATCGGACCTATGTTCATATAAGGAAAAATGTTTGAAATTAACTCAACTACCATGTTTTAAAGTTTGTCATATAGCTTGTAGAACACCTTGTATAGTAGCCACGAGGGATAACATCCAAACTGCATTCAAAGCCCAAAGTCGAGACATATCTAAATTAACGGTAGAGTTTAGATACAGCCGGACATTTTTTCTCACGTTTGTATAATCCTTCAGTCATCTCGAGTCATAAGGAATTTCGTACCAAGCTGTGTCCCATTCTTAATGAAGCACCCTATATGCAAATGTTCAAATGTCCTGGGTTTATATTTACTACTAACTTTACTAACACTTAATTTAAATTTGCCGCTTTTTATATGTTCCAAAATGGTGGTAAGTAGGTTTATAAACACCATCTCGTGCAGCTTCAAGCTATACATAGTGTTTCAATCATAATGTCATTAATTTAAAGGAAAGATAGGGAAAAATCAGTAGAATACGAATACGCGATTAATAAAATTTAAAATGCATATTTACGCTAAAAAAAATATTTTCAAATCATTATTTAAACTCTTTTTCGGACCGCTCCTGACCGCTGATTCACAAAGATTTATCCAGAATGAATCTTGATCTACCGTAATAAACGGTCATTAACCTAGCTATTAATGGGTTTTTAATCCCTAGTGTACGTGCAAAATTCAAGACGACTGGGGAAATCATCTGTTTCGCTTCAATGTTCGAACGCTCTATAGTCCGTCGGTACGTTCCCTGTTGCGAAGTAGGTCGTCGAATTAACGGGAGTTAAGGAGTAATTTTTAAACGATCGAGTAAAATTTTTTCTTTCAGATTCTCTGCTTTTATTAGGCCTTCCTATTTCGTGATTAAAATTAATGACATTATGATTGAACCACCCTGTATAGCTGCATATTCATCTGATTTCTGTACGGTTTCAGTTAAAATTTAATGCATGCCTTTTGACAAAGTTCATAATATATGAACTTTGCTTTTGATAAAACGACTTAGAAGTTTGCAAACACCCGGCCAAAACCTGGTACTTATAATCTTTTTTTCCAGGCGCCTATGGATTCTCCTAGTCCTATGTTTGTGTGCCTGCGCAGACGTAAAGAACGACAAATGTCGTCGACCAGAAATTTTGTCGCCAAGGACTCTATTCGTCTACCAACAAACAGATACAGTTGATGTAACAATATATCACTGCCACTATCGCCAGGAAATCAAATGTATACATGGTAATTGCTCCGACTGTCTAGTAAACAAATTGAAATACACAGATGTCGAAACAACGTACCAATACAGTGACATCACACAGAACTGTATAAATGCTTTTGATACAAATAAATTTATAGACAAATATGGTATCTCAAATCAACCTAAAGTAGTAACATACAATTTGAACTGCACATATTCACGTCTCGATAAAATTGTAAACGTTACACTAAGAAAATATGATAGACGAGCCGAAATAGGACGAGATAGAATAGTGTTACAGTCGGGCACCTTTTGCAAATATACCTCAGGGTTTTGCCACGACAAAAAAGAAGACATCGATGTCATGTGGACAGTGAAAGACCTCGCTGATGAATGTTCCCTTTACAGAAAAATAAACGTTTCGGACTTGTATTATTTCGCCTTTAACCACAACCGTTACGCTATACTTGAATCGTACGGCAAATATTTTCCTATAAAATTGACAACAAAGCAGGGAAGTTGCTCAGTCGCTAAAACGTGGAAAACACAACAAGAAGGACTGATAATAACAGAAGGGCTCATAGTAAACGCAAGCAGTAATAACATCCTGCAACCGACAGATTATTTGAAATTCTACTTTACAAACAAGCAAGCCTTGTACGATTTTCTAACCGAAACATGTACCGCCGATTTAAACAATGAAAACTCGAATTCCTGGCTTCTACAAAAATCGTTCTCGACGAAGTCAAAGTTGCGAGACCAAGACAATAGTTTGAACAACTTAAATACCGAGATTCAAAGTCTTCTATCTAAAGCAAAAATTTATTTCTACATAATTGTTTTTATCGTATTATGTTTGACGAGTGTTATAGTTCTCTTGACCTACTTTATACTAAAAACAAAATCTTCGATTATCAACTGCAGTTATCCACGATATCCTCCACCTAATCCAAGCGGACCAGTGAATATTGTTAATGCTTACGAATATATCACATCGGAATATGACATTAATTCTATCTATGAAAAAAAGTACTGTCAGTTACCTGAGAAAATCAGCAAGACCTCAAATGCCCGAAGTATGTACGAAAGTACGTTGGAACACTAAAAAATTAATAAAATCACATTATAAAGAGAACAGTAGGGACAACTTACGTTTTTATGAATGAAAGCAGCCCTTCAGAATCTGTTTCGAGTGAAAATAGCTTCACTTCCATTTCAGAGTGACGCTATAACTTCACTTAGGCATAGTAGCTTTTCACCTTCATTCCCAGTTCACAAGAAATATGGGTTATAAACCCCCCAAAAAAAATTTTCCGACAAAAATTTTGGCATTTTGAGTTTGTCCCCATATGTCGATTTGGTGACATTATGGTTGGTGACAACCAGCAAGCAGCAAGCTGATTTTTCTGGGAGGGTTTGGTAATAAGATTTGAAATGAAAGTATCTTATTGTCCGACAAAATTCTTGAGAAGTTTTTGCAGTCCGACGTCCCGAAGATGTCGATTTAACGACAACATGGTTGGTGATAACCAGCAATCTGGTTTTGATTTTTTTCTCTAATAATTGAAATGTATAACATAATAATATACTTGTCTGCCAAAAAGATTGGAAAATGGGAAAAATAATTTTTTTGTGGTACCTAATGTTCATTCCGCTATAAAATAATTAATTTTTTAATTAAAAAATAAAGAAGAATAAATAAGAAAATTATCTTGATAACAGGAGCAACAGAAATTCATAAATGTCTATCAAAATTAATTTAATTAATCTCCATCAAAATGATTTCTTTGTTCAAGAAACTTATACACTTTATTTTATAAACTATTGTAACTATTTTATAAAAAATGGTAACTGTAAAATTAATGCATAAATTTTTGCTTGTTTTTTTTTTAATTAAAATTTGCAATTTTGTTTTGACAAACAGTTTACACATAGTTTTGTTCTTGAAAAAACAATTAAACCAATTTTAAAAAAAATTTTAAAATATTTTGAATTCACCGCGCGTTTTCTCTATTTCTTTTCTCAAGGAATCCAGCGTGGTAATGGTATACGTTACCGATCGCAGGTAACTGCACACACTCATAGACGCATGCATTAACACATTTAATTGCATATATACATTCTTTTTGTAACTGTATAAAAAAATGAATTAAAATTTTTTTTGTTCATATATTTTTTTTATTAAATATAAATTTTTCCTACATCATGTGTAAGTATTGAAACCGCAAAATTTTATCGTTTAATTTTGTCGGACAAGCAAAAAAAAAACGATAATCTTGTCAGACAATTACATTCTCAGATTAATATTGCATTTTTTTAAATAATGACGTTGTCGTTAAATCCACATCTTCGGGGCGTCGGACTGCAAAAACTTCTCAAGAATTTTGTCGGACAATAAGATACTTTCATTTCAAATCTTATTACCAAACCCTCCCAGAAAAATCAGCTTGCTGGTTGTCACCAACCATATTGTCACCAAATGGACATATTTGGGGTGGGGGACAAACTCAAAATGCCAAAATTTTTGTCGGACAAATTTTTTGGGGGGTTTAAAAAATATATATCTTTCATTTAAACTTAAAAAAAAGTCACGGGAAAACTTACCACTGTTGAATTTTCCTCGTAGTCAAATCGTGGGAGACTCGTCAAACTTAAGCTGCACGCAAAGTTACAGTTTGCTGGTAATATTTTTTTTTGTACTTGGGCCCGTGGACTATTATGACATGAGCCAACGAACGCAACCAAGGTAACTAAAAGCAAAAGTCAGGCAATTCACTCTTGTATTATTTACCAGATTTAGTGGGGTGGAGGATGAATTGGCATACGATGAAATCATCCGTCAACCAGTGACTGAGATTCCAAAGAAGCAGGGCCGTAATTGAAACTAGATTTAAGATATATGGCTGTACGAAGTTAAATAAAAAGTCAAACAATTTTTAAACGTAATCATTATGTTTACAACGATGTGTAGTCTTTAATAATTTTAGTACTTTTCAGTTTTATATAGAAATAAAATACCCATCGGAACTTCCAAATATAGAATATTTCAAATACGTCCCTGGACGGAGGCATACAGCTTGTATGCCTGTAATTTCCAAACCTTTGCTTTTAGTGACCTTGGACGCGTAACTTATTTTAAGCCACTCCTACCATCATTACAAAATGAATGAAATGGAAAATTTTCTTGGCGGGAATCCTGCTGTTCTTTTTATACTGTGATAAAATATGTCAGTCTTCAATAAGTTCCTTAAAAAAAATGTATGAAACAAGCACACGAAAAGGTAAACTGGTGATTTAACTTAACCAAATAAATAATAATGATACATGCGTAATTTATCAGATGTGATGGCGTCGATCGTAATGCCCTCTGGACCCTGACGGCCTACCAACATCAAAATATCAAAATTTGCAGGCAAGCGACAGTCCTTACTTTGGTTTATCTGATAGCGTAGCGTATGCATTTTGATACGCAACCAATGTTATGTAATGCAGAGCCTTCATAAATGATTACAAGCCACGTGGCCACCGAGCTAAGGCGACCAACATTGCACGTTGGTATCGCCTGCCAACTAAATATCCCTATAAATCGTATTCGTTTAAAATGAACAGTGACAAATCGTTGCGTCCGCGCTCTGGATAATACGATCGCGGTTTGGCTGAAAAAAAAAACACAAATTACCAGCCGGTGAGACAGAATGTTATTTTTTTAATATAATATCTTGATCTTACTGTTTTAATAATTTTTAATTTTACCGAAATTTAATTGCCAACATGAAAGAATTAAAATTACTGTCCCTGCCAAAATTACTAGTCATGTGGCTTGTAATCATTTATGAAGGCTCTGTATATATTTTGTACATTGTATTATTAATATTATTAAGTTTTTAAATAATCCTTTGCATTATTAAAATTCATTCATACATGGTGCATCTACACTTTTATATGAATTATTATTATTATTATTATACTTTTATATGGATAATTATTATTTAAGAAATATGTGTATATCTATTACATATTCTTTAAATGTTTATAATAAACTACCTACCTATCTATCTATTTATATATAT